TCACAGTTGTATTTGCTGTTTTTCGCCAATTTATTTACAGTCAAAATATTGCATTTTTTCTCCTGTATTATTTCTAATATCATTTAACCAGCGACCTCTAAGTTGTATAAAAAACACTTGTCGATATTACCCTCCAGTGGTCGATAGTACACTACATTAGAAAAAGAGGACGTGCTTCATTCCATGAAAAGAGAGATAAAGGCCGTAGCAGAATAAAAATTATCAATTAGGAGTGCTGCTAAAACATTTGGAGTACCATAAAGCACACTCCAAGAGGTAGATGTCAATCAAAACAATTTACGTTGGGAAGAAAATCATTTTTCCCAAGATCAGGAAAGATAAATTATTCATTCGGTATTAACACTGTTAAGTTAACGCACGTTGGTATTCAAGAGTGCAGATAAAAAAAATTTCATATAATTTGGCTCTATTCGTTTATGGGAAGTTATCCGTAACTAAGTTATCAAAAACCACTAGTCACTAGCATCAGCAGAGTTACCGCATTCAACAAATGCGAAATAACCTAGAGTCTTTATTTGAAAAACACCAATTTAAACTTCATCGCATATACAATGTGGACAAGGAAAAAATTAAAAAGCAATTTGGTGCGATAACAAGCAGAAAAAGGGGATATGCAACCATAGAATGCTGCTTTGGTACATCCGCGCAATATATTCCTCCCATGTTTATTTTTAAATCCTCCTTTATCAAGGTTCCTTGATAACATCGATGAAGACCTGAGAAATAGGAATACGTGCTTGGCGGAGAAAGGCGATGCATAGGGACGACAGGAGAAAAATTCTTGAGGAGGCTAGGACCCACACAGGATTATAAAGCTAAAATGATGATGATGATGATGATGATGATAATGATGTTTATTTTTAAGAGACTGGGGATGACAGATGGTTTAGAAAAAAATGGTTCCACATTCGCGATATACAAATGTTCGAAATCTGGATGGATTATAGAGGAGTTGCTTACCACAGCAACCTATTTTTCTAATACTTGATAATTATTTCACTCATTCCTCTTTAGCTTCGTACAATTTTTGTCGAAATTCTCGCATTTATTTATTATCACTCAACCCCTAGATGGAACTTTTTTGATGGTATTAAAAGTTGCTTACCCTCAAGAATGTAATAAGTATATGAAGAGTAGAAATTATGAAAAAAATTGAAGACAGTGGTGTAGCCAAACTTTTTGGAAGTGCTTACAATAGGGATACCTTGATACAGAAGGCTTTAAATGGATTCAAAGCTACCGAAGTATTTCCCATCAATCTAATATGTTTTGTGAAGAAGGCCTTCTTCCAATCAATTAAAATAATGAAGATGGGTCAAATACAATGGCTTCAGAAAATTTATTATTTACTAAGAAAACACCCCATGATATTTCACAAGCAATAGAATCAAGACATAAGCCCTCTTATCCAGAACCAGGACCAAGTCATAAGACTTATTCTCCAGAACCTAGGACAAGTCAAATCATTCTAGAAAGATTGAACATCTTACACAATCTGTATCTGTATCTGTAGAATAGGGAGGGCGAGTTAGGTTTCACAGCACTTAGGCCACAATTGACCCATTGTGCATCCTCCCAGGGTGCTGTCACCCTTAGCTCATTGTCCATCCTGCCATTTCTAGGACGGTGGACAAGTCACCAGGAGACATCTTACTTATGTGGCCAGATGTGGGCCAGGACTCGCTGAACGCGTGCTCTCGTATTAACGATAACTCTGGGCATTCACATAGGACATGCTCTACAGTTTCGTCTTCTCGTTCACACTTCCTACATAGAGGTGTGTCTACTAGCCCCAGTGTGTGGAGGTGTTTGCTTAGTTGACAATGACCAGTTAAAAAAACCAACTGCCAAACGTAGATTTTTCCTGGTCATTCCCAAGTACTTCTTTGATGTTGACTCTTCAAGGTTACTTAGTGTTACTCTGGCAAGTTTACATCCTTTCCCTTCTTCCCATCTTTTTACGGTTTGCGTATGGGAGTGACATTTGACAATTTCCGCGATTTTTGTAGTTGACCAACCAAAAAGATACCCAGGACTTAAGAGTCTTAGGCCTGCCGCCTTCCTAGATAATTGGTCAGCAATGCGGTTGCCTTTATTCCTATTGTGTCCTTTAACCCACTTCAGGATCATGGTATTACCATCCGAAGCTTGAGTTAGTGACTCGTAACACTCCATTACTAAACCTGACACGTGGTCTATTCAAGGCTTGTCTGCTATCTGTGCAGATCATTATAGTTTTCCCTGCTATACTTTTTTGGGTTATCTCTTTTGCGGCTATGGAGATACCAGTCTGTTCTGTCTGAACTACACTGGCATTCATGCCCATACCCCACTTTATTCTTAGGTTCTGTGATCTGGAGTATATCCCGCATCCTGAGCCTCCTTTTATTTAGGAGCCATCGGTGTATATGCAATAGGCATTTGCCACGTTTGTCTCCATGCACTGTCTTGTTTCAATTTTGTAGGGTTTGTTAAAGACGAACTTTGGTTCGTCTGGGGTTTGCACCAGCTGAGTGCAGTCGCATCATTGTCACTAGAGCCACCTCTTTGACATATATATCTAGAGGCGTGATGCCAATGATCAACTCCTTTGCAGCAGTTGGTGTTGTTTTCATGGCACCTGTTATATTTATGCAAGCCATCCTCTGAATATGGTTTAGTTTGTTAATCGCTGTTGCCTGTAGCACTTTTGGTGCCCAAGCAATAACTCCGTAAGTTAGCATTGGCCTAATGACAGCGGTGTAGACCCAGGCGATTACCCTGGGCGAGAGGCCCCAGGTGCGTATAACCGTTCGTCGACACAGTTCATATGCAATATATATGCTCTTTTAGCTCTACCATCTAGGTGTGAGTTCCATGTTAACTTTCTGTTAAGCGTAATACCATGGTACTTCACCTCGTCAGAAAAATTTAGACTGTAGTTTAGAATCCTTGGGGTATTAAGCCCGTGATTCTTCTTTTCCTGGTAAAGAGGACCATCTCTGTTTTCTTAGGATTCATCTTACACAATATATTGTCATCAAATTCGTCCGATTCTGAATTTAATTTGGTAAAAGTTGCTGAAGACAACTTAAGCGACGATGATGATAAAATTTTAAAAATTAGGAAAAAAACAAATCTACGTCATTCCAAGATTTGTAACCAGTTCCAGTCTTTCATCTTCCAATTTCACAGCGAAAAGATAACATTCGCAAATATTAACTTCTACTCCATTAAAAGCTGAGCTTGAAATTAAAAAGCAAAAAAGGAGAAAAATACTGAAACATTACAAAATGTTACAAGAAAAGTTGCATATAAAAGGAAAATTCCAGTTGAAGGTGATGAAATCTGTACCATTTCTGAGCAATTCGGACATGATAATGGCATTTGGTGTCGTTTTTCTGAAACTTGGGCCCATGTTGACAGTACTAACGCTGAAAAAGCGTCAGTGTATATTTGTGACATGGCAATTTTGATCTTGTTTGCGGCGCTTCTGAATAGTTCGACCGATGTGAGCCCGAACCACTTCCGCAGATTTTGGAGCCACGAGTGTCTTCTCCTGCCTGGCCCTCGCTTACTGTCTATTTTTCCCTGGACAATCAATTGTAGCAGACGGTACTTATCGTGTCTCAATATGTGGCCTAGATATTCAAGCTTTCTTTGTTTAATTGTATTCACGATTTCTTTCTTCTTTCCGATTCTTTGGAGTACCTCTATGTTGGTGACATGTTCGGTCCAGGATATACGAAGAATGCGTCGGTACACCCACATTTCGAATGCTTCTAGTTTTCTCGTTAGCGTCTCCGTCAGCGTCCAGGCCTCCACGCCATACAGCAAGATCGGAAAAATGTAGCATTTAACTATACGTAGTTTTAAGGGAAGAGACAAATCCTTGCTTATGAGAAGCTTTTTCATATTGCTAAATGCTGCTCTAGCTCGTTCTATTCTCGCCTTTTGTGACCCATGCTCACTGTAAAATAATATTAAAATATTAAAATTAAATTTATATCCAAATATTAGCGCTTGGTCGATTCCGACTTGCGGTTCCACTTAGTAGTACTACTAGTTGGATATTCGTCTTAACTCACGCTCCGACATTCTATCCAACTAGCGGTCCAACTTTAGTTCTAGTTTTGTTTTCACGACGGTGTACATCGCTTAATCAAAAAATGTATCAATTAAATCATATGCAAAATATAAATAGGGGGAGGAAAGAAGGGTAGCATTGTGCTTGTTATCCTTATCATATGTATGTTATGATATGTATATGTTTAAAAAT